CGATTCAATTCAATAGCATACCAGGGAATAAATGATCAACTTTATGTCGATGCTTGCGGCAGTATCAGCATTTATCCAAACAAATTATTTATCCAAACATATTATTGATTATAGATAAAAATTTCGTTGTATTTTTAATTCGTTTATTTTTATGCTTCAACTGAGAATGAATGTTTTTCAGTCACTTTTTTATCAGTCACTCATTTTTCACTTCATCAGTCACTCATCATCAATTACACTATCAGCTTCATTCATCTTAGCTAAACTCAGCAAATTTTTAGGGATTTTTTGACTTTTCAATCATTAGGCGTTTTTTTTTTGTTTTCAAATCATCTCATGTCACTTCTACTCGTTGCATTTCTATTGCCCAGTTGTTCGGCTCGTTCACTTCTTCGTTGATTGCTTATCGTTGATGTCTTATCTCTTATCTCTTCGTTGCTATATTATTAGGTAGCAACAATTTTTTATCAGTCGTTATCAGTTAACAATGATCAATCTGTGATATGGTGTAGTTATCTGATTGTCTTGAGATTCGCAACTTTGAGTTTTGAGAATTGAAACGACGCGTTTTCATTATTTTTAGATTTCGACTTGTCATTGTCGGGTTATGTTTATTATTAAAGGTGTATGAATATTCGGTTCATGTGATGGCGCTGTCATCTTAGAATATCTGCGATAATCCGTTAACCCAAATGATAAGAAGGGATTATTGCTGGAATTCAAAGAAGGGTCATCACTCTTTTGACCTTTTGACATTTTCTTGGTTGATAGACCGGCCCTCCTCTGACCTTCGTTGTATATAAGTGAATCAATCCTCTTCTGGCTGAAACAACTCATTAAAAGGATGCGATTTCTCTTAGAAGGTATACGGCTTACACTTTGTTGTGAATGATGTCTCTTTTCTGCGAGAATCGCAAGTGATCGTGAATGTTTTCGTTTTATTGCACATCGAATCGAATGTTTAAATGCTGATGATAATGTTCGAGTGGGACGATTTGAGAATGATAAGGAATAGTATGATAACGGGATATTGTGGATGTGGTAGGGTAGTTGGCATTGAAGATATCATCCTTTTCATTAGCACGTATCATCACCATACCTTACTTGCTCGGTAATGCCCCCAATGATTACCTGCGATAAAAAGAAGTATTGCTGAAGTGACGGGGTGATAACACAGTTACCAGTTATCAGAGTTATCCTACAAATTGTGATATTATCATAACTTATCAGTGATCAATGACCAGTGATCGATTTGTTCAGATCGATCGATCGCAAGTCACATGAAAACAGTGAGTGTTAATTGGCGTACCACATTCATCGCAGCAATTGGCTTGGGTACCCTCCTTTTATTTATCATATCCATTTTGGTCATATCGAACGAGAAACGATCACACGCTTCATTCGGACACAAGATTGCATTGGCCAAGAATGTGATCGATCGAAGAAATGCTGAGGCCGAAAGGGAATACTTGAATCAGGTGAATGTGGTTGTTATCTATGGATGTTATGCCGTAAAGATATTGTTGGATATTATCACTTATCGTATCATTTGATATCACTGAACATTGTTCCTAAGTGTTTTCATTTGTAGCAGGTCCCACCACCGTCCAGGAATAGGAATATAAGCTCACAATCCGATATTCTTCTACTACCTCATCGGACCCATTTCTCTGCCAGCAAACAAAACGAAACGGACAATAACGTTGGCTTAGGAGACGACGATAGTGATGGTTAGCATTTTTGGGTTTTCGGAAATTATGGTCTTTTTCATTTTTATTGGTTTTCATCTTTTTTTTTCACTGGAAAATTGTGATTCAATGAGCAGCGAACAGTTTTGTGGACATATTGCAGAAAGTCGACGTGAATTTGTTCGTGCGATGATGTTGCACGCTTGGTCGGGTTATAAACGCTATGCGTGGGGTGCGAATGAGGTGCGGCCGATCTCGAAAATACCGCACACTCAAGGCATATTCGGCGGACAAGGCTCAGGCCTTGCGGCCACAATAGTGGACAGTCTTGATACGTTGTTAATCATGGGTTTGAGCGAGCAGTACGAAGAGGTGTGATCCGTGATTAACTGATATCGCCTTTATCAAGACATTCTTATATTCATTTATTCACTCAGTGATCATTCACAGCAATGTTATTATTAACTGATTACAAGCGGCGTTTAAATGCCTCTCATCAAAAAATCGCTATTAACAAACGATCAATTTGACACAATCGATCGATACCAGAACTGATCATTATTATTGTTTTTTTACATTTCAAGGCGAGAGACTATATCCGTGATAATTTCAATATATCCCGAGTTACTGGGACTTTGTCAGTTTTCGAAACGAATATTCGTTTTTTGGGTGGACTTCTGTCGGCATACGCGATCACAAACGAGGATTTTTATGTGTGAGTGTGTGAAGTTAATATTTGTTGATGCAGTTATTATATTTGAAGTGAATAGTTTATTTGAGTGATAATAGTAATCGAATGAATAATAATAGTAATTACCTAGATTGGCAAGCAGGCTATCAAACGTTTGTAACGTTGCTGGCCACAATGCTTGCGTTTCCGTTCGCACTGTTTAAGCCTTTATTCACGCCACCCCGCTGGCTAGGCGAGCAGGCCACCCGAATACAACCAAGTGACTGATTAGTTGCCGTGAATACTTTTCATAATTAAACGTCGCAGCCAAATACCAATCCAATAAATAATATAACTCTAATGAAATAAATATTCCACCGATTGCTCATAGCAAAAAACGAGTAGTAATAGTAATATTAATGGATATTTGAATGATAATATGTGAAATATAATATGTTGACGTATATAAGATTCATTGGAATATGAAGTGAAGTTTGATGAGGAATATTTCAGTAACTTATCGAAAAGTATTGCTGAAGTATTGTTGAAAGCATTCAATACACCAACTTCGATCCCAAAATCATCAGTAAATCCCTCAACGGGTATGTATTTGTATTATATTCGGAGTTGTATCGAATGATCAGTGAGATATCTGATGGTGATGACCGTTTTATCCGTTCATCTTTGTGATCATCCTTTGATTTATTTATTCAGTTTTGATTTAGTTGTCTTCTTAGCAGACATCCACAGCTTGAATCTGAGCTATTAATAGTCAACAGTGGTCTTTTGAGGTGAAATTAGTAACTATGGCTGGGCAGAGGGTGGTTCATCAATTCTATCCGAATTTGGTTCATTGCACCTCGAATTCGCTTATTTATCGAAGGTCACGTCGAATTTGTCTTATAAGGAAAAGGTACATTGCTGCAGTTGTTTTCTTTCATCATTTAATGTTAACTGTTGCAAGCGATTAACGATGAATATTGTTTCGTTAAGTTATTAATAGTAGTTATTAGTGTTCGTTTCTAAGTTAGTTTCATTAGCAACTGCCATACATCGCGAGAAGTAGCATTCGCTGCCTAGTGAGCGTTTTCAGATGCTGAGAATTATCTATTTTTTTTCGGCCTACCTTCGAGTACAAACGCTGAAGATATCCGTATTACAGGTGCAAAAAATTCGCGATCACCTAGACAAGATTGAGAAAATTGACGGTGGTTTGTATCCGAATTATATGTCACCTGAAACTGGTGAATGGATGGGCAGTCACGTGTCGTTGGGTGCGATGGGCGATAGCTTTTATGAGTATCTGCTCAAGAGCTATATCCTCACGAATCGTAGCGACGCACAGGCATGGCGCATGTACACTGCAGCCATGGATGCTGTCCAGGAGAAGTACGTTCTGTGTGCCAACCTTTTCTGCCTCCTGAATTCAAATTGCCACCTCAGTTGAGCACTGCTGAATCGATATGCTTAAGAATGGTGATTTTGAGGATGATTCGAAAGTCGAAAGGCGGTCTTTGGTATGTGGCCGAATCGAGGAATGGCATTCTGGAGCATAAAATGTCGCATTTGTCGTGTTTTTGTGTTGGTATGTTCGCGTTGCAGTCAAAATACGAAACGAGTCCAGATAGAGCCAGAGGGTAAATTGTTCACAAGTTGAAAACCATCCAGACTTTAAGTCGGCAGTATCCACCATAAACTTTTTTGAATGCTAACAATGTAACCGATCGATCACCTATTTCTCAATATTTCCCTGTCTCTGTTATATTGTTGAAAAGTACAATATTAGTTCATCGTTCACTGTGTAAATGAAACAGTGAAATCATTCTCGAAACATAGTACTCATGACGATCATACAGTTAAGAGTATGTATGTAATTTTTGCGATTGATTCCGATGAATTTGTTGTTTTTATTGATCGTAGGAGTAACGACGTCGAATTCATTATATAAGTAAGGAGAAGTGCAACATTTCTGCTGGAATTTTGTTTTGTAATGAGGGAGTGTTTTGTTTTTTGATTCAAACTGGAAGGAATTTTCAGTTTCATGCGATTGGCCGAAGAGCTTGGCCGTACATGTCATGAGTCATATGTACGGTCCAAGACGGGAATTGGTCCAGAAGTATTCTCTTTTGTTAATGGCAACGAGGCCAAAGCACCGTCAGTTTTGCCTATAATGCCTAAATCAATGCATTTTTCCTTTTTTTAGCGTTCACTTGATCAGAACGTTTGTGATAACAGAGAATTCGGTTCTTTGATTAGAGCAGCGGTTCTAGCTTAGGTCGCTGCTGATCCTTTCCATTGATAATTAATTCAGTGATCGGGAAATGAGAGATTGATTTCTAGAGCTGATCAGCGTCACTATATCCTTCGACCAGAGGTAATTGAAGGATGGTTTTATTTGTGGCGATTGACGGGTAAACCCGTGTACAAAGAGTGGGTTTGGCGTGCAGTGCAGGCGATTGAAACGTACTGCAGACGAGAGGCTGGTTATACGGGAATAACGAACGTTTACAGTAGTAAACCGGTGTGTTTTTATTGAGATGCAACGTTTGGAATTATTTTCTCGTGTTTTTTGTTGTTGATATTTGCCATCAAATGCATCATTTGATCGAAAATGAATGGCAAGAAGGAATCGAGAGGCATTGGTTTGATGCAGTAACATTGCAGGGTTCTGACGATGTGCAACAAAGCTATTTTCTGGCTGAAACACTCAAATACGCGTATTTGACGTTCACAAACAGCTCAGTAATGTCACTGGACAAGTGGGTCTTCAACACGGAAGCGCATCCGTTGCCGATTTGGACTGGAACCGGAACGGGAACTGCGGACGGCACTGGCTTGGCCATGGAGAATGCTTTCGGGGATTTTTCACGTCGTGAGCCTGTAGTGGCCTCTGGTGTTAATAGAGCAGCTCGTCTGTCACGTCGCTCGGTGAAAAGAGCGACGAACGAGTCGAAACTGGCAAAATTGAGTGCTAGGGGGAAATCGAGACAGAGGAGGAGAGCGTAGTTAGATTAAGGAATATGCAGAATCATGTTATCTGTATGGTAGATCACTGATAAGGTGATAAGCTGAAGCTTATGGGACAATACCCATACTAGACAGCGAGGAAGTTTTGTTAGCGATTGTTTTGTATTTCGTAGGTAGTTTAGGTAAAGTTTTGTTGATGTTACGATTATATACCTGTGTATGTGTTACTTGTTTGTTGTTTTTGACATTTTATGATGTGTTGAATTCATTTTGAGTGCATTCTTGTTGCAATATTGCAAAGAAGTTCAAATTTTTATATTTTTCATTGTTTAATTTTCATTTTCTGAATGTTTTTCGTGTGGTTTTTAAAATTGATGCGATCATTTTACTCGTATCGTGATTACGATCATGATCATTATTGTGAATCATTTTATATATATGAAGTGAATTGTTCTTATATTATATATAAGAGTATGGCTAGTGCTATTATACATATGATGGACGTTATTAATATGCTATCATTTCGTTGGGATCCTTTTAATTTTTACGGGTTCTGCTGCGTTGAGCTGTGTTATTATTGCTTATTTTTATTGTTTTTATGATTGAACATGTCTGATAAATGAATCGTTCCTGGCATCATATGCGTTTCACCAAAGTTTGAAGGAAGTTTTTATCATTGTTATTATCGTAATCGTGTCACTGTAAGTATTAATAATGTCATTTGTTGTTATTGATGTTGTTATGGTTGTTTATTTGTGTTTTTTTGGTATTCTGTTATAACAATCATCCTCAGTGGAATGTGTTTTAATATTCCATATCGCGATAACGATTAATATTCGCAATTTAAGAAGTGAACGACGAACCAGTAAATTATAAAGCAATGATGAATACTGTTCAAATATAATTCCTTTTGAGTTATCATCCAGCTATTCATTCAGGATCTGTTACCTATAACTACTTGAATTGACATTTTTTGCCATATCTTTGGTTAAATCCAGGTGTTTTGGAGGTTTTTGCAAGTATTTAAGATATAGTAAAGTTTTCCATGTTTGACTTCCCGCAATCGCTGTGAACTGAGATCGAATCTACGAATCGCGGTCGAATTTACGAACCGCGATCGAATCTACGAACCGCGATCGAATTTACGAACTGTGACCAAATTTTCGAACGGTGATTGAATATTATCGCCCGTTGGTAATGAGGACGATTTTGCAAATGTTTGCATAGTAGTACGTCAGTGAGACTGATGTACACAGCGAACTGAAAGAATATTGCACATTGCATCATCACAAGCAGTGTGCGGTGATGGATGCAAGAAGCTGAGAATGTGGTGGTGACTCAGCTGAGTCAATAGCACCGAACACCTCAGTTGACTGTGCTGTTTACAGTGTATCGATCCTCAATTCTCCTTGCAAATGGGCGACCGTTTGACATTTCGAGTTAGGTGCTTCATAGCTCTTAACAAGTTCACTGCTCTGTTTCGAACGCACGTTTAACCCATCGTTTACATGTCCTGTACTTACTCTATTGTATACGAAAGGGTGGTGATGGTGTTATTGCGATAAATATTATTGTTTTCAATATTATCAGTCAATAATGTTTTTCAGATCTTTTCAGTTACTCGTCAGTAATTTTTTTTTGCTAGTTGTGTTATAGACATATGATTATAATCGATATGTCTATATGTTGCCAGTTATACAGCGTTATTTTGTCAGCGTTTTGGTATTGTTATCGCTGTGTGGTTACTTTTCAATGGATGTTCGATAGTTTCAATTTTTGAGGCAATGACATTTCAGTGCATATTTGTTTGTGTAAAATTTCAGCACGATGGCGACGGCTGAAGAGCGTAAACTGGAGTTGGAACGTAAGAAGCAGCGATTGGCTGAGATGCGTGAGGACAAGAGGCGTCGGGAAGAGGAGCGACGGCGTTTATTGCTCAAAAGTGCACCTCAGGAAAATGGAACTGGTCGGTTTTTCGTATGGAATTTATTCGGTCTTTATTTTTTGCATGATTTTTTGATTTGTTGGACAATTTTATACTTTCATTGATGGACGAGAATTCTGAATTTCTGGTTCAGTCCTAGGATGAAATTTTCCTCTTGCCATTAGTTTATTTCTATTGTTTCAGTTCCAATTCTGCCAAAAACATTTTCACAGAAGGATCTTGAAGATATTCTTGAGCCATTAGGAATTCCTGCTCAACCGCAAGTTGAACGACCCGTCACGCCAGCTGCAAATGACTCTTCTTCGGTATTGATTTTCAATGTTTTCTCAGATATCAGCCCAGTTTTCCAATTTTTTCTGTTTTACAATTTGTTATATATGCGCTTGTAAGATGTGATGTATGGTTTCACGCATTCATCCGAATTGGTATATTGCAAGTGAATGTTTTGTACAGTGTTTGTTTATAGGAGCATGCCTCAGCACCTTCACAACGTTTCGCGGGCAGTGGACGTGTGCAAAATTTAGCATTGGTTGAAACGCAGATGATCAGTGTGCCGGCGAAGGAGAGTGTAAGTGCTTGAGATTTGCTTTGAATGGTGAGTGTGGCCTTGTTTCGTGGTTCGATTGAACGAGTAATTTTCAGGCGTGTTATTGCAAGACAACCCAAACGGATGATGATCGCATCTCAGGTGGTGAATTCAGTCTTGGATCACAAGAGTTCGATTACGACGAAGAGATGACCATGATGGACAAACACATCGATATCAATTTCGACGAATCACCAACTCGAGAGATCGCAAACCTGTTGCCGAATTTCCATTTTGGTGCACGTCAAACGCAAGAGGTTCGTTCGTTGTTGGATTAGTCGTCTCTGATAGGCATTGGTCAAATCGTTATTATTATCCTCGTGTTTTCGCTTGCAGACGGTCGAAGAGCAGAAGAAGGAAGAGGATCAGAAGATACCGGATTTGAGTGAAGAGGAAAAGCTACAGATTCTGACCAGTCAGAAGTTTAAACACTTTTTTGATTTTCAATCCAAAATTATGGAACGTCAATTGGCTGAAGAGGTACGTTAGCTGAGATTTACTTTATCCTTTTATTTGTCTCATATTGCCGTCGAATTGTTCTCTGAGCTAGTGAATTGCGTGCATTGTAGGTGGACGTATTTGTGGACTATACTCGTGATAGTACGGTTGACGAGAAGGCGGATAGCAGAGAGAAGTTGACTCTTTCGAGGGTGTTTGTGGATGAGAAGTGGAGTGCCGGAAGGTTAGGCGATTTGTTGGAGATTCTGAGAATCATTTAGAAGATTGATTGGAAGGTGTGTGAAAAATTGTTAGTGTTTGTTTTTTGTAGATGTGTGACTGGTATCGACTTTTGTGAGCAACACCCGGAGTTGGTGGCAGTTTCGTACGATCACAATCCAGAGTCTCCACTCGATCCGATGGGTGTCGTACAAGTGTGGAATTGTAGATTCAAGAAACCGACAGCTGAGTGAGTGCTTTGTCGCATTTTGATCGATCGTGTTTCGCTTCATTCGTTTTTCTTGAGTTTACTTGGAATTTTTTGGATGCTTACATATTTCATGTGACATGGATTATGGTGTTTGCTGTGCTGGCTTAATATTGATGAAGTTGTTCGCCTCGTAGTGGTAGTGAAAATAATTTTAGATTCACATTCTATTGTCAATCGCGAGTGACGAGTGTGGCATTCGCTAAATTCCATCCGAATTTGATTATGGGTGGTTGTTATTCGGGTCAAATTTGTATGTGGGACAATCGTCTCAGTAAGAAAACTCCTGTTAATAAGGTGAGTCTTTTTTTGTTGTTGTTTTCATTGATGTGTAAAATTATGTTCGATATTGAAATGAATATTTCAGGGAATTTGATATGAGTTTTTATCAGTTCAATTGGTATATTTGAATTGGTATCTGTTATGATTTGTTTTCATTTTTTAGAGTCCATTATCATCGCAAGCACATACGCATCCAGTATATAGCATGGCCGTAGTGGGCAGTCAGAACGCGCATAATCTAATAAGTATCTCAACTGATGGTCGACTTTGCTCGTGGAGTGTTGATAATTTGAATCAACCCATCGACATCATCGATCTGTCATGGAAACAAAAACAGGTGGGTTGCGGTGGTGGGGTTATTTATAAAGATGAGGGAGTATTGGTTTATTTTACAGGTGACTTGTACGAGTATGTCATTTGCGTTGGACGATGTGAATAATTTCGTGGTGGGCAGTGAGGAGGGTACCGTGTATACGGCGAGTAGACACGGTAATAAAGGTGGTATCAATGACGGGTTCGAAGGTAGTGACGTTTTGCTTGTTGGGGGTTTCTTTTTCGGAAGGGATTTGAGGAAAATATTTTTCGGGATATATTGATTTGGATTTGATTTTGAGGTCATACGGCATCAATAACTGGAGTTGATTCGCATAAAGCGATGGGTGTTATTGATTTATCACATTTGTTTTTATCGTCTTCGTTGGATTGGACCGTTAAACTTTGGAGTTCGAAGGTTTGTTTTTTGTGAGAGCTTGATTGAGGTGTTGATTTCTGTTTTGTACACATTTCTGAAGATTTTTGAATTTGAATTAGTTGAGTGAGACGAATTTTGACGGCATTAGAAGAAGCGTTTTGTTTTGGCAGAATTGTGGATAGACGAGTGAACGGAACAAGATTTCAGGAACCAAAAGCATTGTGTTCATTCGAGAAGCACGGTGATTATGTGGCCGACGTGGCATGGTCTCCGGTTCATCCGGCCGTATTCACATCAGCTGATGCTGCTGGAAATGTCAGTGGTGTTGGTTCAGTTTTGTTTGTTTTGACGAGGTTGTTGCGGAATTTGAAAATTCTTCCATTGAACAAAGATGAAATTTATATTGTATTGCAGTTGTTTGTGTGGAATTTGAACGAAGACAATGAGGCACCGATCACGCGATTGAAGATGGAGGATGGCGTGGGCATACGGCGAATGAAGTGGACACACTCTGGACAGCAGTTGACGGTTGGAGATGAGAAAGGGAACTTGTGGCTGTATGACGTACACGAGAGTTTGATCAATTGTAAAGCGGACGAGTGGAGTAAATTGGCCAGGTAATTGATTTTATTCGAGTTTTTCATTTGCTTGTTTGTAGATTGTTGATTCGTTTTATTTTGTTTATTTCAGAACATTGCGTGACATCAAACAGGCACGCGAGGAGGCAGAAGAGCAACTGCCCGAATCGTCGAGTCGTATTGGAACGTCACTTTCGAGCGCGTCGTTAGTGAATGCAGCAGCACAGTCGTCCCTTTCGGTTAATTTATCACCGAGGCAACAGTGGTAATTGAAGGGTGAAGGGAGCCTTTTGAGGCACGAATTATTTTTGAATTGAATCGGTGAAAGCATCGTGCTGGGTTTTGCTAGAATCGCGCTTATTGAAAGGAGGATACTGCTGAATTTCACTTCATATATTCTGGACTCGGAATCGAAATCCTGAGAGATTTAATCTTGCATCGCTTAATTTAATGAGTTCGTTTCGAGTTGGTGCGGTGAATATTTTGAATATTTGTGAACGATTTTTCTTTTGGAAATTAATTTGAGTTTAGTTTGTTGTTGAAGATTAATTATGAAATGAATTTGATAAAAAAGCGTGTAATTTTTAATTGGTTCATCGATTGTTAACTCGTTTTTATTCGTTGACAAATCGTTTTTGTGTTGGACATAATAAATTTCATTTTATTTTTTTTAAAAAGTCGTATAGAATTTTGTCAAAACTGCAAAAATTTTGTGCAATCAAATGGGAAATTTTTCAGTGATTTTTGCAAATTTTTGATTGATTGTAATTTGAGACTTTAATTATATGATAGTATGGATGTTAATGTGTTTTGATGCGATTGATTCATACGAATATTATTTGGTTTGGAATGCAATGAAATTTGATGGAAGCAATGTAATAGACGTGTTGTATCGTTCGGTGTATCGATAGAGACGTGTGCTGACGGAGGGTTTTTTGTTTTATCGATCGAAGTGTATTGTTTTATTGCGGTGGAAATTTTTGTACTCTTTGATTCAGTTTATATATCGTCGACTTCGGTTGTTCGGTCTGCTTTCGCATTCAGTTGGATGATTGATTCTTTGGTATTGTGAGGTTTACTTTTAGGAGTGTCATTGTTATTTTAGTTCTCTTACAAGTCGGTGTTATTCGTGGTAATTCATCTTTACTGATATATTGCTGAGTATTCTATCGTTATCTTATAATTATTATAATTGTCTTGCTTGTTATTATTATCGATCTTGGTATTTTTATGATTATCGATGTGCTGATTCTGTAATGATCATATAAATATATCTATTCATTGGACAGTCACAAATCTCATCGGCAGTTTTGTTTGTTGTTGAACGATAAATCATCATTTTATTGTGTTATCGCGTAGGAAATTGTATGGCGTAATGGAATCTGTTTATAAAGTTTCATTATGAGATTATTATTCATGTTTATGATATTTTTCTGTTTGTTTGTTGTTTTAGAGATTAGGTTGTGTGTTACAGACCTGAAATGAAACTGTTCGCTTGACTCATTCGACCTGAAATTGACAGCGCGCAAATCTGAAATTATGATTGTAGGATTGTTGAGTGTTAGAGAAGGGTGAGAAGAGAGACTTCAGTAGTTCGATCGCACGATTAAGTTCGGGTATTTAGGATAAATTGGCTGTAGCTTAAGCTAGAATCTAACTGAACTCGATAGTAAGTTAAAGTCAGGTCTAAGCGATGATCTGAACGCCGACACTAGTTCAGGAAGATATTTTGAGAGCCACATTTTTGAGGGTAGTCATTTTGAGTTATTCAGTAAGTGCTGAAAGGTTACCAGTAGCCAGTATAGTCTCGACTCGGTGCTATTCCGTGTGTGCTTCCTGTCATCGCTGTTTCATTAACCGATTAATCTCTTGCCGGCTATCTCTTCATCATATGACAATATCGCTTAAAAAACTGATATCGTTCCTACTGATACTTATGCCTATAAGTATTAGATGTAGGAGAAAGTTCTCGGGCAGTTACGCAGAAAACCTCTGAATTTTTGGGGGTTTTGAATGAATTACTTGCAAACACGACGTAAGCAATAAAGTGCTACGAAAGCGGTATTAGAAGATGGTCATTAAAACAATTTTTTCGTTCTGATCTCAGCTGAGATGACATTGCTAAGTTTACAATATAAAATGCTGGTCTATGTATATCCATCCCATAATATCCACTTGCAATGTTCTTATGCGCAGTAGTACGACTTGTTATACACTTAAGCAGTTGTTTTGTTCATCGCTTCTGAAATCGTTTTTCGATTCAATTTCGTTGAGTTATTATTATTATTATTATTCGTTTCGCTTACAATTAGCGTTTTTCATTGCGATTATTTAACTCTTCATATTTTTAAACGATTCATTAATTTTGAAAAGTCTTCTTCGTTAAGAGTTCATTTTTATGTTCCTTTAATACGATCATCAATCCATCCATCATCCATTTGTATCGCGTTCTTCCCGCTTCTGCGTGCGATTTTGTTCTTTTAATTGATCATTTCTGAAGTTTAGTTGATTGATTCGACTGATTTGATTGGTATTCGATTGGTTGAATTACACACGATGAGGTCTTATTGTCATCTTGTTGTTGTTGTTGTTTTCGTGCGAGGTACGACGTCTTTTTGAGATTTCTTTATCCATTTTCTATCTTGTTATTGAAAAATGCTTGATTCTACTATATATTAAAGGCTGCTTTTTGTTTCGTTTACGAGTCTATTCATTCGTTGATTTATTTTTTTACTTATATATAAAATTATTCGTACAGTTTTGTATTCACAAGTCAATTTCATCAATATATTATTCATCGCCGAATTGCTAAACGAACTTGTCATCAATAAATTCAGTAAAATCAGTCAGATGATTGAGGTGGAGTGTTGATTATTACACTGCATTGTGCACCTCTTAGCAAATTTCTTTTGAATTCATAAATGCATCTGTTGAAACTTTTTGATTTGTCGAATATCCGATTACGATTCCAAGTCTCATAAATGCATCTGAGTAATACTCTCTCAAACCTAATTGACATATTAATATGTGAATTTGTAACTGTTCACGACGCCATACCACATTAAGCTAGCTTCCCATAAATCAAAGCTTTGAATGAGTCTGAATCTTCTTAATATTCCATGCAGTTGAACGATTTTTTGTGAGGTACATAAGAATATGAAGAGTACGGTTGAACAATTGAGAATACGGATAATCTGTCCGGTGTTGACAATTGAGAATACGGATAATCTGTCCGGTGTTGACAATTGAGAATACGGATAATCTGTCCGGTGTTGACAATTGAGAATACGGATAATCTGTCCGGTGTTGACAATTGAGAATACGGATAATCTGTCCGGTGTTGACAATTGAGAATACGGATAATCTGTCCGGTGTTGACAAT